CAGCCGAAGCCTCACCTTAATGTCCTGTCCATCCTTGCTTCACCAAGCCACGGCAGTCGTAATGCCTGGAGACATGCCAAGCAATAAAACTGCCCACCAATTGATCGTCTGCACGACTCAGAAGCTTGGTCATAACTGGCTTCACAATAATCTCGTCTCCGCTTCTATGGCCTTGGCGAAGCGTCATGGTTAAAGCGTTGGGCTGCTATTCTCCACTAACAAGATTCTTGCTTGTGACTCCAAGTCTGGAGAATTCATCGTGCCAATACTCACTCTCGGCGAGCTTGTATTGACTTCAAACCTCATTAGAGCAATCTAAAAAAAAAATAGCATGAGAATTAAGGTCAATTTGGCTGGTTATGCTTATATTCCTCCGACATGCAGTTTAAGCTTAAACTTTTTCTCGTGTGTTATAAGTGACATACAACCAGGGTCGGCAGTTGGCAAAGAAATTCGAGAGAAAAAAAAAAGATCAACAGAAGCACGATCGCCAGTGGCTTTCCCCCCCAGGCCACGCAATTCCCCCTCCACTTCCCCAGCTCCCGCAATTTATGCTTGATTCCGCTGTCGCGTGAGGACTTTCCTTTCTGAGAGTCACTTCTTTCCACTGTGATTCGTTTAACGTGCCTGGTTTCACATTGGTTCAAGCTTTTGAAAGCGTGGGTTCAGCTGCCAAGACGATATTCACAGCCTCATTAGCCACGCGTTTCTATTCTATCTTTAATGGAAAGTTTGTATTAGTTTGAGCCCTATCGTGTTTGAGCCTCGTTCAACGTGGTGATCTCGGGCGTTTTCGTTTGGTTGAGAACATAGAGACAGTTACACCGGTTGCGTAACCTGGGAACACAGACTTCTTGGCGGCAGTCTTTAAAGGTCGTCGTGACGTGGCTCAGTACGTTTTGAGGACGAAGCAAAAAAATTTGTCACATTAAAACGTTTATTGCCAAGACTGTTGGTTATCATGCTATAGCTAGCTGAGTATGCTCAGATCGCTTGATGGCGCGGTGGTGAGGTGCAAGGGAAATGTCGGGATGGGGAAAATATTCGGTTTTCAGAAGATGGGGCCGGAGTAACATCTTGTGGTACCATGATGATTATCACTGGGCATGAATCAGGACTGTTGATCTATGTCACTTGTTCACTGTCATATTATCGTCAATTCGACAAGGGGGGCAATTGTAAGGGACATGAGAATAAGAATCGAGATTGAACGTTGAAGATATCGCACTTCTTTCCGTCTCATTTCCACCTTCGAAACGCACTCTCTGGTGTTCTATATCAGCGTTGACATAAGCGTTATCAGGTGTCTACGTGATGAGAAAGACTCAGAGGGTGACTTCTCAAAACAACTATCCAAATAATGGCTCACTGCGCATCTTGTTAGCGAGCAGACCCTACGATCTCATGGCAGCTCACCTTTGTCAATATCTCATGCATCAGCACAAACCCATCCTCCAGAGTTGCCAAACCATACCAGAACCTAAGTTCAAGCAAGAATCTTGTCCAACTCAGCCAATATAATAGGCGTATCCCTTATAACCCTCTCAACCTCTAGCTGGGTCATCTCCCCCGTCCTGACATAGCCCAGCTTCTCATACCACCTGATAAGTCCCTTTCTCGTATGCAACGCATTCAGCCCAATCTTTTTCACGCCGAAATCCTTCGTGAGATACTCCTCACCATATGCAACAAGCTTTCTTCCCAGACCTCCACGCTGCAGTGTTGGGTCAACAGCTAGGAGGGCCAAACGACCGTAATCAGGGGCCTTTCTCAAGACGTTCACGCACCCGATTATAGGACCGTTAGGGGTGTCGCTCGCGACGATGAATTTACTGTCCTCAATTGTGATTCTGTCAATAATAAAGGATATGTCGATTTGGAATGTTTCTGCCAGTTCCGGGGATCCGATCCAGTCAATATGAGCGTCTGTAAAGCGGAAGGCTGCTTCGAGGAGTTCTCGGAGACGAGGAGCGTCATCTTCGGTTGCGATGCGAAAGTGTAAGTCGGACATTTTGGCTGGTGGTCAAAAACAAATTGCTACTCTTCTTGCTGATGTTGGTTCAATCGGGGGTCTTTGACTGTTTAAATCCCTCAACCGAGATCAACTACATATCATTGGAATAGGAAGGTCCCCCTGAAGGGCGTCATGTTTGACGCGAAGGAAGCGAAGAAAATGGCATGTTAAAAGGTTCTCGGTGCCGTTTAAGCGGTCAGCTGTTACCTAGATTGACGGCAGATACTGTAAAAAGGGCGAGCCTTTTAATAGACAGACTGCCCTACAAGTGGAGGGCGCAGGCTGTGTTGAGATTCGGAGATAAGGCAGTAGGCCAATGGGAGAATTTATTTAATTGACTCAACTTCTATTTTTGCGCGCCAATCGGTCTTGATATTATTTCCTTCTCCTTTTTGTTATGCTGTTTTCAAGAAATGCTGTATCTAGTACAGCGTTTAATGGTAGATGGCTGGTTACAGTCAACCTGCCTACCCGACACCGGTACGCTTTCGATCGTTGAAACGCACTTTACTCAGGGCTGAAGAGTTATTCCGTGGCTACTGTGGTTTATATGATACCTATTTGATATATATGTATATCTATTTGTATATGTGTTATTCATACTCTTACTTACCCAGATTGTACTGTTCGTCCAACTTCTGATATGAAGTGGGAACCTGTTGCTTCATGAGAAACAATTGCATGTCAGGGATTCGTTTGCATAAATAAACTCGGAGAGTATTCAATAGGATCGTTCGGAAACGCCTGCTTCCAACCTTCTTAAAATGCAAACTTTATCGCTCTTTATGTCGGGCTTTCGGGCCCGTGGAATATCCCGACTGCACCGCTATGGTTTCAGTATGAATCGACTGCGGTGAATATTAACAATTTTCATGCTTTGTCCTTTATTCCAGTAGTAATTAGTACCAAATTAGGTCAATCGGCACTTATACCCATATAATATCAATACATTATATGGAAAGAACCTTTAATATTGTTGTTGTTTAGTATAGTCTATTGAGTAGAGATGCCCTGAAGTGACAGTTAAACTACCAACCTTCAATTGGGGCCATGGCCCGCTTCGATTGTTCAAATGCAATGTCAAACACATGTGAGTCAGAATTGAGTACACAGCCAACAACTTTATGCAGTTGGATTTTGATTCATTACAATTGTCCTATCGCTGAATAGCAAAAACGGCGATCCCGAAAACCCATCTCACACCACTCGGGCCCACGGACCCATGGCAATAAGCACCCGCTGCACGGAATGCTCTAGCGTTAGTGTCCCCCAAATTCAAGCACACTGTGCAGCAAACCTCCATCAATATAAAACACCCTTCATCACCCTCACCTTCTCTTTCTCTTCTTCATCAACACCAACGGACTCCATCACCGTCCGTACTCTTCTTTCTTCCCTTTTTAGCCTCATCGGCCTCTCTGCACTCACAGGGGAGGCCACGCCCCCTCTAACTTGAATCAATGGCAGTCGCAGCAGCATCAGGAGCAACGTGCGCCCGACAGACCGTCATGTCATGGTAGTCTCGTCAGTGCCCCGGCGCTAGATTCTGATTTTGGTCTCCTGTGCGACGTTTCTCCCTTCTTGGATCTTCTCCCTCTTGATTTCGACTTCAACTCTCAAGGTGTTTACCAGGGAAATGATGCGACGTGGGACTTTGGGCAAAACATGGGAGAGGGATTGTTTGATCAGATTGCAATTCCGGATATGAACGCTCTGGATATGAATACTCAACTCGATGTGGGAGATGGCTTCCTCGCTCAGGAGCAGCCTCTCATCACTGTCAACTCTTCACCACTCGAGCAACCTTCAACATCAAACACTCCCCATCCTTCGACCACCACTAGCAACAAATCTCCCTCATCAAATATCCCAGGAACATCCACCTTCTCCCTCCACCCATCCCCCTCTTCATCATCAAGCTCCTCTCGCAAACGCAAATCCTCTCCCGAAAATGATGACTCAGCTATCACCCTCAAACGACAACGCAACACCCTCGCTGCTCGCAAGTATCGCCAAAAGCGACTCGATCGCATCTCAGAGCTCGAGGAGGCATTGGCGGCTATGACAAATGAACGGGATGATATGAGACTTCAACTTGCGAGGAGGGAGGCTGAGGTGGATGCTCTGAGAGAAATGCTGGGAAAGAAATGATGGAAACAACTTTGGAAACAGGAATGAGATGAACAAGAAAGGAAACAAAACACAGGGTTCAATATCGTTATTTGGATTCGGGGCTTTGGAAAGACTTCTAGATATGTTACGTGTTAGCGAGGCGCATCTCTTATTAATAGATTTTTTTTTGACAATTATTAGACCACAAGTGATTCGATGTCATATACTCATGAATACTGTTGCGTTTCATTCTCTCTTGCAAATAAAGACACGAGGCCCAATTTGATGCTAACTTGCACTCTTCCTCATGAATTCACATCACCTTTTTGCAAGAATTGTTTCGTCACAACAAGCCAATTCACCTCAAGGCAATTTATATGCATTCGTCTGGCATCTACAACTTCCGCAACATCCGTAATCTCCTGATCGGACATGAAAAATCGCCCAATTTGTATGTTCTCATCTTCTCAGTCCATGGCTTTCATGAGTAACAATGAATCACTCTGACGAGTCGTGATAAAACCCAGTGCATCACGAATGTTCAAACACTGTAAAGACCCCAGACGAGAGGGCGGGAAGTGGGGCAGAGCGGGGTCCTTTGTTTCGATAAGGATGAGCCAGAATGAGTCATTTTGAAGATTTCCCTTTTGGGAAAGAGAAGATTCTTGCACCGATCTGGAGCTTATCAGTGTAATAGCAAAAGCAGATTGGATAATTCTGTGAAGTGATATTCACATCTCTTGTGTGTTGTTCCAGTGAATTGGGCGAGAAAACGTGGTGTTCCCGCCCGAGTCACAGACGACCCCTCACGACACGATTTTCTCACCAGACATACAAAACACAATAAGAAACACATCTACAAGAGCAGAAAACAGCCAAGGTGGCCGGGGGTTAAGGCGCTGCACTCAAGATCTGATTGGTTGATCTTATCCTGTATAACGGGACGCATTGCAGTATCGAGAGATGCTTGGGTTAGAATCCCAACCTTGGCAACTATCTTTTGCTGATGGCTTCCTTTTTGGCTTAGATGTACTTTGGGAGGCTTGAAGTTGACCCAATTGCTTACTGGGGGCTTACACGGGGAAGACTCGGTATAGAAATCTTGAATTCTAATAGTTGAAACATCTGTGAGATCATGTCGTAAGTTTTCGTGTTAACGACACTTGGACAAGATTGCAAGTGACTGCTCTGTACACACAGTCTATTTCACTGCTCATAAAGCATCAACTCTAACTGGACTTACTATAGTCTATCAGGGAAGGGTCTAATTAACGAACAAGTCACCAGTACCCCTTCCGTCCACTAAGATCCAATATCACATCCGGTTTCATCCAGTCAGTAACTTCCCCCTTGGGAGCTAACTTATTACGCAAGTCCCATCTTATTTTTTCTTCACTTTATGGTCTACGGACTGCAATCATGCCCTATCTCTCACGACTGTGGTGCCAGCTCGGAATCATGAGTCTCAATCTGGGATCCCTCAATCACAAGATCACCATCCGGTATGGTGTAGTGGCTAACATTTCGCGCTCTCATAACCTGAGAGATCAGTACCGCGGAGCCCAGGGTTCGATTCCCTGTACCGGAGAATATTTATATTTTTTGCTCTTTTCCCCAATAGCTCAGTGTACTTTCTTATAACAAACAGCATGCATGACGGGGAGACAAGTCTCGTCCGTGGACACGGTGGTGCCGGGGTGGCAATCAAGATGAACACTTGAGGGCCCGGCCATTTGTAAACTGTTTCCAAGAAGGACGATCCTCGAGATGAAGGCCGGGGAAATGTTTGTCAGCTCTACGTACTGCGGATCTTGGCCATCCATCTATCCCATTGTGTGTCTCAAGTCTCATACTGAGATTTTCCTCGGTTGTGTCTCTTGGGATTGACAGACTCGACGAGAGTGTTCAGTAACATGGCCGACCCTATCGCCCATCTGTTCTCCCTAGCCAACCTCTTCATGACACTCTTTGACATCCGCCTTTTCCGAACCCAAGACTTACTGATGACATCAATCAAGATCATATCATTTACGGTATCTCTCCCCTCAACGCCTTCTCGTGACCCTTGATGTGGATTCAACCATGTCAAAAGTCCTCCGAATGCCTTGGCACAACCATCCATGCCTGACTCGTCAAGAGAATTACCCAAAACTCACTCATTCTAACCGAGTGTTACTCAAGGCATACCTATCCTCTTCCCGTCTGTTTGTCTCACATCACCAGAGAGGATATGTCCACGGCCGTGATGGATCAAGAAAGGAGAACAGACGGCCTTCATTCTTCCACGAATACGCTAGAATGAAACGCCACAATCTGTCACCTTACTCACCTCCGTGTTTCGACGGTTCACTGGATGGCTGGCTGGCACACTTACACCCTTCTCCGAAGGATCAGCATCACCAGCCACAAGTTCCTTCACTGCAACATCAGCGTTCCCCAATCTTCGCCACAACGTCTCCTCCGCAGTGGACAGAATGCGGCTCGTCACGCGTCCGGCCGAAGGGTCCTTGACCTCACATCACCTTACCTCACCGGCCCGTCCCATTCGTCGGTGCTGATACGAGGTCGGGCTTAAGACATGCGCCAGGCAAGAAGGTCATCCGAAGAGTCGCAAGGTATGCCATTGGGTTGTGCCGGGAAAGTGTCAGCAATCGAGGCTCTGGGCGCTGTGCTAGTCATTGAGCGCATGACTGGTGCTATCATAGACCTTGGAAGTATCCATCAGGCGCTCTAGAACGTCGGGGTTGATTATAGAAGAATGCTTTGTCTTGATTCCATAAGAATGTTGTCATATCGTGCTTTGAAGGTCAGTGTGGTGTTCACGAGTAACATTAGATTGATAAAGTGAAGCATGGTTACAGCGATCCGGTTCCTTCGGGCTCTACTGTAACCACTAACGTGAATAGAAGTTGCGTTGCAGGTGATAATTTCTTGCAGGAACTAGACGTAGTGGCCCTTGAGATCGTCCTCAGGGTTTTTGCAGCAGGGAATACAGACAGGACCCTTGACGCAGGCGGGGAACTGTCATAACACCGGAGACTTTCGACCGGACTATACACTCTCGTGCCAAGTCTAGCAGGATTCAAAACAAATTCAGGCTTGGCGATACAGTTGCAACGCGTCCAAGGGGGGCGATAAACACCAAAGATTCGTGATCATGGTGGGGGAGCAAGACTGATGACGCCGCCGGGATTGAGTCGGATGATGTGGGGCAGGGATCATGAGGCTTCTCAAGATGCTACTATGTTGCCCATGTCAAGGAAAAAGTCGATCTCATCGAATCTGAGGGTGTGGTGACCAGGAATCTCTTGGAGTGGGTTGGGCGATCGAGGGAGCGAGTGCACGGGGACGGGTGGTGTACATTGAGTGGGTGTCATCCTGCTTAGCGCAACACTTGCCGAGCGCTTATTACGGATCATGAATTGAAAGACTGTGAGAGTTGGCGTCTCGTGGTGTTGTTGTTTGGTGGTGACTCAAACAGAGACAGACAGACAAGGTGAACCCAGCTTCGCGGAGACAGGGGGCGGGAACAAGCAACGTACATTAGAATATTCGACAGGGCCGCCACTTATGCGATGTGAAAGGCTGAAGGTGCCAAATCTGGGGAAGCCAGCCAAGCCACCAGACAGCCAACGTTCTTTCAGATGCAACAGCCAATACATTCTTCCAAGGCTGTCGTATAGTTCAGACTTGACCAACGACACAGAGGCTGTGAGTCTGAAGATCAAAGAAGAGGCAAATTTCTATATCATGACCCCGGTCTGAAACGTCAATCTCTCTCGGCAGTTGATGACCACGAGAGACAAACATACATGATACGGGGTGTTTCGCGAAACCGAAAGCATCGAAATGGTGAAGGATGAATGGGTGTAGGGGAATCGTGGGAACAACGAATCAAGAAAAGCGTCGTGATGATGAGGAAAGAAAACTTGAGACCTCGATCATAAGTGACAAAAACACTTGAGCAATTTCAAGATGAACTTAGGCAACCTTTGTAAACTCAGAGAGCTTTTGATCAGTTATTTTTAGTTCCCTGATTGAACATCTCAGGTTTTCTTTGGCTCCCCACAGGGAGGGTCTTGATTGTGGTGGTGGTGTTGATGATCACCCGCCTGAGACAACCAAGGCTGATGGCTTGACCAAGGACATCGCGCCCAGCCGCGGCGCAGTAGAAGTATCCAGTGTAGTCTCAAAAGTTGTACAAGGTTGTTCTCCTTTTCCTGATCAATAATCGGGTACAGGTTCCTTGATTATAGAGGTCTATAAACTGATCCCGAGACAGATAAAGCTCAAGCTTACTGGCCCAGATCTGCAAGGCCGAAAGTCAAAGAATCCAATACAAGGCTGTTCCCATGCACAATCATCTGCGAACGCCTGCAAAACATCTAGAGGCGAATCAGCTAGGTTCTGCACTGTACAATCAGAGCTGAAGAGGCAACGATGTGACATGCGATGAGGCAGTCGATTGGCCTGAGTAGATGCGGCTGCCTCTGAAGGAGTATGTACGTTGGGCAGACATAAATAACCATCCTGACCTGCGGAAGCTACCCGTACGATGCATCTGCAGACTAGTGATAGATACCTAGACCTCCAGCAGGGAAACTGCCATAGTTGCGGATAGGATAAGCGGAGACAATAGCATCGCGGGATATCTGAATGGAGTGGAGATGGACAAGGCTCGGGATGGAACGAAACGAGCCGGAGGATGAGAAGAGACAGGAAAAAGGTGCGGCAGTAACAAGAAGGTGTGGGCAGACCGGAGATAGCATACGTGGTGAGTCGGTAATGAGAGGTCATGTGGGAAAAGTGGTGACTAAACAACGACACTCCCAACCTCGCTACATCCGGCTTCGCCCGGGCGATGACGATAAGTGTACCATTCTTTCAATATAGCCTGAATGGTACTGAGACAAGCATAGAACAAAAGGTCTCGGTTATGCGCGTTGTATCGTAAACAATGTCAGGCCTCATGGTGAATCATGATAATTAATATGATGGAGTTTTGAAGTTAAGGTGCCTACAAACTGCACAGCTATTTCTGGATCAAAGACCCACCGACTCAGCGCTCGGACCTGTCGTCTACCCCTCCTTATAAGACATATGCTGTAAGTGCACTAGACTGGGCGTTTGTCAGGGGATCAAAAGCCGCTGGAAGCAGTTGATTGAGTTCCACTAGAACGGCGCCCCAAATGTCTTCCCGATATGCTCATGGGCTGGACAGGACACTGCAGGAAATACATACATGCAGATATGATTGTGTAACTCAAGATATCCCAACTTGATAGCCTTTTGCAGTTTTGTCTTACCCCAGCATGAGGTTATCACATCCAATGTAACAGGGGTTGTGCATGGAAATGGCGTCAGTGACTTACAAATAATACATTGGGGTAGTACTGATGGCCAAGAGAAGAAGGCATGAATGTGATATTCCACAAACTGAAGGTCGGCGTCTTAAAACGGAGATATATAGCATGTTCCAGTGATACGAATCTACTGCTGTGCGAGGTAAATGTCACACAACAAGTCATGTCCCCAAATCCAACGTCCTAGATGGGATTCAAGTGCAGAAACATAAGTCTGAGTACAGTATTGTAATATCTGGTAGACGGCAAGTTGCGCAATCGCAAACGCGTTACGATCATAGTTGAGACCACCTCGACTAGTCTGGGGACTCTGGGCTGAGGCACTGACGCCAAGGAATTGTCGATTGGGATAGACCCTGGTACGACTCTCTGTGGATGCATCCTGGACGCACATGGACACGAGGGTCGAGGGTCTAGTCGGCCGAGTTGGGGATAGTCTTTGATTGCCTTGATTGTAAAGATGACTTTGAACGGTTGGTGGCTTGAGAAACTGTATGTATGTAAGACAGACAGGGATATCCTTTCCTGTACAAGGCCAAGCCGTCTGCCACAGTCAGGCAATAAAGTACTCTTAAGTCGACTACATGATGCGAAGATATCCAATAGACCACGCACAGCATTACGAATCA